GTGATCAGATTAAGGACAGAAGGTGGAGAACTCACAAGAAATGATCAGGAGGTATGTGAGGAGCTGAACAGGAGATTTAAGGAAGTTTTTACAGTAGAGACAGGAAGGGCTGTGGGAAGATAGCACAGAAGGGAACATCAAGAGGGAATATACCAACAAGTGTTGGATGACATACGAACAACTGAGGAGGAGGTGAAGAAGCTCTTAAGTGACCTTGACACCTCAAAGGCGATGGGACCGGACAACATCTCCCCATGGGTCCTTAGAGAAGGAGCAGAGATGCTGTGCGTGCCTCTAACCACAATCTTCAACACTCCCTTGAAACTGGGCAACTACCTGAGAAATGGAAGACAGCTAATGTAGTCCCCATATTTAAGAAAGGAAACAGAAAACGAGGCACTAAACTACAGACCTGTGTCTCTGACATGTATTGTGTGCAAAGTCATGGAGAAGATTATCAGGAGGAGAATGGTCGAACACCTGGAAAGGAACAAGATTATAAATGAAAAACCAGCATGGGTTCATGGAAGGCAAATCTTGTATCACAAACCTCCTGGAGTTTTATGACAAGGTAACAGAAGTAAGACACGAGAGAGAGGGGTGGGTAGATTGCGTTTTCCTAGACTGCAGGAAGGTCTTTGACACAGTTCCCCACAAGAGATTAGTGCAGAAGCTGGAGGATCAGGCGCACGTAAAAGGGAGGGCACTGCAATGGATAAGGGAATAACTGACAGGGAGGCAGCAACGAGTCATGGTACGTGAAGAGGTATCACAGTGGGCGCCTGTTACGAGCGGGGTCCCACAGGGGTCAGTTCTAGGACCAGTGCTATTTTTGATATATGTGAACGACATGATGGGAGGAATAGACTTTGAAGTGTCCCTGTTCGCAGATGATGTGAAGTTGATGAGAAGAATTAAATCGGACGAGGATGAGGCAGGACTGCAAAGAGACCTGGAGAGGCTGGACATGTGGTCCAGTAACTGGCTTCTCGAATTCAATCCAGCCAAATGCAAAAGTCATGAAGATTGGGAGGGGCAAAGAAGACCGCAGACAGAGTATTAGGCTAGGTGGACAAAGACTACAGACCTCACTCAGGGAGAAAGACTTTGGGGTGACCATAACACCGAGCACATCACCGGAGGCACACATCAACCAAATAACCGCTGCAGCATACGGGCGCCTGGCAAACCTGAGAATAGCGTTCGATACCTTAATAAGGAATCGTTCAAGACACTGTACACTGTGTTGTTAGGCCCATACTGGAGTATGCAGCACCAGTCTGGAACCCACACTGGTCAAGTACGTCAAGAAGTTAGAGAAAGTACAAAGGTTTGCAACAAGGCTAGTCCCAGACCTCAAGGGAATTTCGTACGAGGAAAGGTTAAGGGAAATCGGACTGACGACACTGGAGGACAGAAGGGTCAGGGGAGACATGATAACGACATACAAGATACTGCGGGGAATAGACAAGGTGGACAGAGATAGGATGTTCCAGAGAGGGGACACAGGGACAAGGGGTCACAACTGGAAGCTGAAGACTCAGACGAGTCACAGGGAAGTTAGGAAGTATTTCTTCAGTCATAGAGTTGTCAGCAAGTGGAATAGCCTAGCAAGTGAAGTAGTGGAGGCAGGAACCATACATAGTTTTAAGAAGAGGTATGACAAAGCTCAGGAAGCAGAGAAGAGAGAGAGGATCCAGTAGCGATCAGTGAAGAGGCGGGGCCAGGAGCTGAGTCTCGACCCCTGCAACCACAATTAGGTGAGGTGAGGTGAGTACACACACAAACACACACACACTTGTTGTATTCACCACAAATACACACACGATGAATTCACCACACAAACACACACACACACTCTTGTACTCACCACACACACACACACACACACACACACACAACACACACACACACACTTGTTGTATTCACCATACACACACACTTGTTGTATTCACTAGACCACCCCACACACACACACACTTGTATTCACCACACACACACACACACTTGTATTCACCACACACACGTTGAATTCACCACACACACACACACACACACACACTTGTACTCACCACAACACACAACCACACACACACACACACACACACACACACACACACACACACACACACACTTGTTGTATTCGCCATACACACACACTTGTTGTATTCACTAGACACACACACACACTTGTTGTATTCACCACATACACACACACGTTGAATTCACCGCACACACACACACACACACACACTTGTTGTATTCGCCATACACACACACTTGTTGTATTCACTAGACACACACACACACACACACACTTGTTGTATTCCCCACAAACACACACACGTTGAATTCACCGCACACACACACACACACACACTTGTACTCACCACGCACGCACACACACACTTCAGTCATAGAGTAGTCAGGCCGTGGAATAGCCTAGAAAGTGACGTAGTGGAGGCGGGAACCATACATAGTTTTAAGGCGAGGTATGATAGAGCTCATGGAGCAGGGAGAGAGAGGACCTAGTAGCAATCAGCGAAGAGGCGGGACCAGGAGCTATGACTCGACCCCTGCAACCACAAATAGGTGAGTACAAATAGGTGAGTACACACACACACACTTGTTGTATTCACCATACACACACACTTGTTGTATTCACTAGACACACACACACACTTGTATTCATCACACACACACACTTGTATTCATCACACACACACACACACACACACACACACACACTTGTTGTATTCACCACATACAGACACACGTTGAATTTACCACACACACACACACACTTGTTGTACTCACCACACACACATACACACACACACTTGTTGTACTCACCACAACACACACACACATTGTTGTATTCACCACACAGACACACACACACACACACGTTGAATTCACCACACACACACACTTGTACTCACCACACACACACTTGTATTACCACACACACAACCACCACGTTGAATTCACCACACACACACACACACACTCTTGTATCTCACCACACACACACCACACACACAAAACACACACACACACACACACACTTGTGTACTCACACACACACACTACACACACACACACCGTTGAATTCGCCACACACACACACACTCTTGTACTCCCCACACACACACACACACACACACACACTTGTTGTATTCACCACACACACACACACACACTTGTTGTATTCACCACACACACACACACACACACACACACAACACACACACACAACACTACACACACACCACAACACACACACACACACACACACACACACACTTGTTATATTCACCACACAACACACACTCTTGTACTCACCACACAACCACACTCACCACACACACACACACACACACACACACACACACACACACACACACACACACACTTGTTATATTCACCACACAAACACACACTCTTGTACTCACCACACACACACACATACACACACACACACACACACACATGTATTTACCACACACACACTTGTTGTATTACCACACACACAATCTTGTTGTAGTCACCACAGACACACACGAACACACACACACACACACACATACACTTGATGACACTGGAGGACAGGAGAGATAGAGGGGACATGATAACGACATACAAAATTGACAAGGTGGACAAAGACAGGATGCTCCAGAGATTGGACACAGTAACAAGGGGACACAGTTGGAAGTTGAAGACACAGATGAATCACAGGGATGCTAGGAAGTATTTCTTCAGCCACAGAGTAGACAGGAAGTGGAATAGTTTGGGAAGCGATGTAGTGGAGGCAGGATCCATACATAGCTTTAAGAAGAGGTATGATAGAGCTCACGGTTCAGGGAGAGTGACCTAGTAGCGACCAGTGAAGAGGCGGGGCCAGAAGCTTGGACTCGATCCCTGCAACCTCAACTAGGTGAGTACACACACACACATACACACACACATTTGTTGTATTCACCACACATACAAACACACTAGTTGCACTCACCACATACACACACGCACTTGTTGTATTCACCACACACACACACACCACACACATGTTGTATTCACCACACACACAAACACACACTTGTTGCACTCACCACACACACACTAGTTGCACTCACCACACACACACTTGTTGCACTCACCACACACACACTTGTTGCACTCACCACACACACACTTGTTGCACTCACCACACATACATGTTGTATTCACCACACACTTGTTGCACTCACCACACACACACACACACAACACACACACACACCACACACACACACACACACACACACACTTGTTATTCACCACACACAACACACACACCACACACACACACTTGTAATTCACCACACACCACACACACACACCTTTTATTCACCATACACACGACACACTTGTTGCATCAACCGCACACACACTGTTGTATTCACACACACACACACACACACACACGCTTTTTCACCTCACACACACACTTGTTGTATTCACACACACACACACACAACACCACATCAACATCACACACACACACACACACACACACACACACACTTGTATTCACCACACACACACACGCATGTTATATTCACCACACACACAAACACACTTGTTGTATTCACCACACATCTTTATCACACATCACACACCACACACACTTGTATTCAACCACACACCACACACACACTTGTTGACTCACTCACACGCACCACACCCACACACACACTGTTTAACACCACACACACACACCACACTTGTTGTTCTCACCTCACACGCACACACTTGTTGTATTCACACATACAACACACACACACTTTGTTGTAACCACACCACACAACACCACACACTCACCCCACACGCACACACACACTACTGCACACACACATACACACACACACACACTTGTTGTATTCACCACACACACGAACTTGTTGTACTCACCACACACACACACCGTTTGTATCACACACACACACACACTTGTTTATCACCACACACACTTGTTGACACCACACACACACACACACACACACAACACACACTTGTTGTACACCACACACTCACACACACACATCATACATACACACAACACACATACACACTTGTTGTACTCACCACACACACACCACACATACTGTTGTACTCATCACACACACACACACACATACTGTTGTACTCATCACACACACCTTCGACACTCACACGCAACACTTGTTGTACCACCACACACATTGTACTCACACACACACTTGTACTCACTACACACACTTGTACCACCACACACACTTGTTGTACTCACCACCACACTTTGCTCACCACACACTTGTACTCTCACACAACACACACACTACTTGTTTTACTCACACAACACTTTGACACTTGTTAAGACTTGTTAGATCGCCTCCGACATGCTACTGACAGCCTTCACCACATCAACTTGCTAGGGTGACACCTCCCTACTTGTGTGACAGCTACACCCTTCACACCACGACCTTCGTCTGTCACCACCACACGATTGTATCAGCACACGAGCGCAACTTCGACTGCCTCACCGAGGTCCACCACTGGCAGCCCTACCCTTTATACCTTTTTCTGCCGCGCAAGCACTGTTCCCATTGGCCCGATTGACCTGTGAGCGGGGGGACACAGCTTCTTGATTGGCCCATGATGAAAGTTATTCCTATTGGCTCAAACCGCAGTATGTCTCCACAGAACACAGAAATATCCTTGGGGTGGGGCTGGGACATCCTTTTTTTGATAAAAGCAGCAACCGTTTTTAACTAACCAACTTTTAGTGGAAACCCGCACATCACGAAACCTCTGAAACCTCTCTATGACTCGATAATTTTTTTTGCTTAAATAAGTTAAAAAGAGAGTAAATTTACTTTTTTTTTGAAAAAGTCTTTTAAGGAATGAAAATTTATGTGTCAATGTCTTTTGAAGCTACAGTCGGGCCCCTTCTTTCAATGTTTTGGTCAGTGGGAAATTTTTGTCTCACGTTTAAAGTGGTAGTAGCACTTGGTCTCCTAAATTAAGTGATTTTCCATTAAATAATTCTTTTTTATAAATCATCCCTTTTTGTAAACCCATCCCCTTGAAACCTTTCCCCTTCTTGTAAATCATCCCTTTGTAAATCATTCTACGGGTAAACCCTTCCCCTTGAAAACCCATAAAAATTTTTTCCACTTTTCCACTCTTTATTGAGTAGAAAAAAATTTTTCGCTGTGGTCGTGGGCCAAAACGACGTCCCAACGCAGTGAAAAATTTACGGTAAGAAGACGAAAGATAATGAATAAAGAACTATATAAAGAAGGCGCGATGGCGACGCAGGTGTATATATATAGTATAATATATATTTTAAAATATATTTATATATATAGGTGGGGGTGTGTGGACGGGTTTTTACGTGAAACATATAAGTAAAACATATTTAGATAAGGCTAAAGAGGCTTTGTGGCTTTTTTGGGATTTGGAAAGGCGTATGACAGGGTGGATAGGGGGGAAAAGGGGCAGATGTTGCAAGTGAAATGGGAGGAGGTAGGTTACGAAAGCAGTGAAGGTTTTTACGAGGATAGTGGGTCAATTAGAGTATGTGGGAAAGAGGGAAATTTTTTCCCAGTAAAAGTAGGCCTTAGACAAGGATGTGGAGACCGTGGTTGTTTAATAATTTATAGAGGGGGTTGTAAAAAGTAAATGCGAGGGTCTTGGCAAGAGGCGTGGAGTTAAAAGATAAAGAATCAACACAAAGTGGGAGTTGTCCAGTGCTCTTTCCCGAGACACTGTGCTTTTGGGAGATTCTGAAAGAGAAGTTGCAGAGATTGGGGGATGAATTTGGTGGGGTGTGCAAAAGAAAAAATTAAAAGGGTGAATACGGGAAAGAGTAAGGTTATGAGGATAACAAAAAGTTTTGGGGGGGGGATGAAAGTTTGAATATCAGATTGGAGGGAGATTATGGAGGAGGGAAGTATTCGATTTTGGGGTGGAGTAGCGGATGGGTCTATGAAAGATGAGGTGAATCATAGAATTGTGAGGGAAAAAGAGTGAGGGTGCACTTAGGGTTTTGGAGACAAAGAACTTGTCCTTGGAGGGAAAGAGGGGAATGAAAGAAGGGTTTTTTTTACCAACCTCTTATATGGGTGTGAACGTGGGTGATGAATGTTGCAGCGGGGAAGGCTGGAGGCAGTGGGTGTCTGTCTGAGGGGAATGTGTGGGGTGAAAATAATGAAGAATTTGTAGTTTGGAAATTTGGAGGGGGGTGCGGGATTACCAAAACTGTTGTCCGAGGGCTGAGGGAAAGGGGTTTTTGAGGTGGGTTCGGAATGTAGAGAGAATGGAGCAAACGAATACTTCAAGAGGTATCAGTCTGTAGTGGGGAAAGGGAAGGGGGGGTAGGGGTCGGCCTGGAAGGGGTTTGGGGGGAGGGGGGAAAGGAGGTTTTGTGTGCGAGGGGGTTGGGCTTCCAGAGGCATGCGTGAGCGTGTTGATAGGGTGAATGGAGCAAATGGTTTTTTTTTCTTTACGTGCTGTTGGAGTGTGAGCAAAGTCATTTATGAAGGGTTCGGGAACCGGCAGGGCCCGGGCTTGGTCCTGGGGATGGGAAGACAGTGCCCGCACTCTGAAGAGGGGTGTTAATGTTGCAGTTTTTAAAAATGTAGGGAAAGCACCCTTTGGCAAGACAGTGTGGAGTATGATGGGGAAAGTTTTTTTTTTTTCGGGCCACCCTGCCTTGGTGGGAATCGGCCGGTGTGATAAAAAAAAAAAATAATAAATATATTATATTATAATATATATAAAATAATATATATATATATATAATTATTTTATATATATATGTATATATATATATGTATAAAATATATATTAATATATATATATATATATATATATATATATATAATATATATATATATAAATATATATGTACATGATGTACAAGTGTTATCATTCCTGGTAGTTAATGCGTGTATGTACGTGTGCCTACCGCACGTGATCTATTATACAGCAGTACAATCATACATTACTGAAGGACGGGTCACACGCTCACCTCAAACTTGGCCTAATTTCTGCCTGAGGATCACGTCTGACTCACTCGTTCTCGGGGCGGACGATAATTTCTCAAGGTATACGATCATGGTGTCAACTCTGTTCGCCGGAGATTATTTCTGGGTGCAAGAGCTCTGGGAAATACAGGTACATGGAGTGGCTGTGTATGTATGTATGTGTGAATGTGAGAGAGACTGATTCTCTCTCTTTCTCTCAATCTATCTCACTATCAAACACCCTCAGCTCACTGTATCAATGCCATCACTACCTCCTATGTCAACATTTTCTTACCTGTAGCAACATTTCCCCCTAAAAGTGTGAAATAATATTCATAAGACCTATATGTCTTCTGTGTATCCTCGAGTATCGTAACATAGCAACAGAGAGGTAAGTATGCTTGGTATATCGCCTACCCGTGCGCCAGGTGCGTTCGAGGGTGTGGAATTCCTTGCGCTGGGGGCCGTTCACTTGCCTTCTAGGGTACAGTATATAGGTATAAAGTACTACCGTACGTGCCTAGGGCACTGGAGAATAGGGCCCTCATATTACCTTTCCTCGGGAGTGTGACATGTGGTTGTGTATATCACAAAATTAGTCAAATATGTTGATTTTAGCTTCTCCCTGGCCTGCGAATGTGTTTTGAACGCTGACTTCAGGAATCATTCTTTCTTCTTTATTCCTGCCGTCTTCAAGTATGATTTCTGGAAGGAATCACACCTCATTATTTATCATCCACCATGACGTTCACTGTAACATACGTGAGATAGTTAGAACACGTTTACTACATGATGGTTATTAAGGCTGCTTGTCACCTGTACACCACCAATCAAGAACATTTTAATACCTAAAACAGATATAGAGTATACTTCCAGAGTATATACAATGAGAGATATACACCTCTACGTGTATATCCAACCAGGTAGGTATTATAAGCTCTTCTATACAGAGAATATATATATATAAAATATATATATAATATATATATATATAAAATATATATAAATATATATTTGTGGTTCAAGGGTGATCATAGCTCCTGGCCCCGCCACTTCACTGGTCGCTGCTGGGGCACTCTTCCCACTCCATGAGCTATATCATACCTCTTCTTAAAGCTATGCATGGATCCTGCCTCCACCACATCACTTCCCAGACTGTTCTGCCTCTTGGCAACTCTGTGACTGAAGAAATACTTCCTAACGTCCCTGTGATTCATCTGAATCTTCAACTTCCAACTGTGGCCCCTTGTTGCTGTGTCCCATCTCTGGAACATCCTGTCTCTGTCCACCTTGTCAATTCCTCTCAGTATTTTGTAGGTCGTTATCATGTCCCCCCTATCTCTCCTGCCCTCCAGTGTCGTCAGATTGATTTCCCTTAACCTCTCCTCGTAGGGCATACTTCTTTGCTCTGAAACTAGTCTTGTTGCCAACTTCTGCACTCTCGCTAGTTTCCTTACGTGTTTAGCTTGGTGCGGGTTAAAAACTGGCGCTGCATACTCCAATATAGTCCTAACGTACACAGTGTATAGGGTCCTGAATGATTCCTTATTGAGGTATCGGAATGCCGTTCTTAGGTTTGCTTGGCGCCCGTATGCTGCCGCAGTTAGTTGGTTGATGTGCGCCTCAGGAGATGTGCCTGGTGTTATACTCACCCCAAGATCCTTGTCCTTGAGTAAGGTTTGTAGTCTCTGGCCCCCTAGACTGTACTCCGTCTGCGGTGTTCTTTGCTCTTCCCCAATCTCCATGACTTTGCACTTAGCTGGGGTTGAACTCCAGCAGCCAGTTGCTGGACCAGGCCTGCAGCCTGTCCAGATCCCTTTGTAATTTTGTCTGGTCTTCATTGGATTGAATTCTTCTCATCAACTTCACATCATCTGCAAACAGGGACATTTCTGAGTCTATTCCTGCTGTCATGTCGTTCACAAATACCAGAAACAGCCTTGTGACCTATGACCGTAACACCGCTCGTACACAGGCACCCACTCAGCC